TCCTGAGATATAAAATGCTTGTAGTCACTAGAATATTCAATTTTGTAAGTATTTGTCAAAAAAATCACTAGAATATTCAATGGGAGATCATACATTCATACCTTCGATTAATATAATGAAGTAATTAAGTATTTTCAACAACAAAAAAAAATAGTATATTTGAATTGAGAGAAATGAAGAGGAAGAAAAGAAATTCTTTATTTAGTTATTGAAAAAAATTAGAGGGGAAGGAAAGTGAAAATTTTTATTTTTATTTTTATTTTTTTTTCTTATAATTTAATTACGGTTAAAGTACTATTTTGGTCTCTCAACTTTTCACTTTGGTATAAAAATTGTCCTTCAACTTTAAAAAATATCAAATTTATCTTTAAACTTTAATTTTTGGTATCAAAACACTCCTTCCGTTCAATTAAATGATAGGTGGCATGCTAACTTGCCAGCAAATCAATTCTTTTTTGGTTTAACTAATGACATGGAAAAGAAAGTATAGTTGGTTTTTTTTTTTTTTTTTATGAGTTGGCATTTTCATTTAATTTAAAAATAATATATTTTTTTCACTCACGTCAGATTTCTTCTTCCTCTTTCATTTTCTCTCTCCTTTACCTTTCCTTTTCTCTTACCTCTGCAAACCTTGGCTTTGGGTTTTCTCAAACGACCGAGAAGCATGTGATGATTGTTGCCATCGACGACAGCGAGCACAGTGCCTACACACTGGAGTGGACGATGCTACTACTATCGTCGGCCTTTTTTTTCTTCTCTCAAACCCAGATTTGGGTTTTTCTCAAACGGCTGAGAAGCATGTGATGATCATCACTGTCGACAACAACGAGACGACACCTACACGCTGGAGTGGATGATGCTACTACTCCCGTCGGCCTTCTTCTTCTTCTCTCAAACCCAGATTGACCTAAGAAGATGATAGGTCCACAGCTGTGACTTGTGTCATCAAATCCAACCGGCAGTGAAAGTCGTCGAAAATGGAGACCAAGGCGCCCCCTGTCACCACCACCTCCACAATTGCCTCCTCTTAGGAGAGATGATATCGTTCAATCTTTGACCTTCCAGACGACTTCTTCGACTCATGTTGCTTACTCTCTCCATCTCTATTGACTTTAGTGTTCGAACCTGATAACTAGTGGAGAATAAGGTATGTTTTAGCTTTAATTTATATTTGGTGTTTTCGATTGACTTTTGGATCTCTTTAAACGAATTTTAGTTGAGTTAAAGCTTGTTTATTGGATATATCGCAATGAGTTTACTGGATTTGGTACAGTGTTTTGTTTCTAATTTCTTATCTAGATTTGGAGATGTGATATAATTATTGAAGTTATAGAGATATTTTATGTGTTTCTCGTGATTGCTTTTTAGTGTTTGGAATCAGGATTACTATTCACTGAATGTGAATTTGGGGGAAAGTAAAACCCTAGAATTTTGCTTTTGAGTTTTGGTGCATTACTTTACCATAGATGAGTTTGGATGGCTTTATCAATTATATTTAATATAATGGAATGATTTTTTTTTTATTATCATCAATTTCATCAGATTGTTAATTTATGTGATGAAACCCAGATCTGGGTTTGAGAAAGGAAGAAGAAGGAGAAGAAAAAGAAAGAATAAGAAGAAGAATAAGAAGAAGATGAAGTTTGAGAGAGAATCCAAGACTAGGTTTGCAGAGGTTAAGCGAAAAGGAAAGGTAAAGGAGAGAGAAAATGAAAGAGGAAGAAGAAATCTAACGTGGGTGAAAAAAAAATTATTATTTTTAAATTAAATGAAAATGTCAACTCATAAAAAAGATGGCCAACTATACTTTTTTTTTTTTCCATGTCATGTTAAGCAAAAAATAGACTTGATTTGTTAGCAAGTTAACGTGTCTTTAGTCATTTAACTGACAGAAGGACCGTTTTGGTACCGAAAATAGAGGTTTAAGGATAAATTTGGTATTTTGGTGTCAAAATGAAAAGTTGAGGGACCAAAATGGTACTTTGACCATTTAATTACTTATCCAAATAAAGGAAAGAGAACGAGCATGGAGGGGAAAATTTTTCTTCCCTTCCTTCTTTCTTGCCTCCATTTTTTTCAATCCAAATATAAAATAAGTGTTCATTAGTCTAATAACGATTATTAAATGTATGGAGTGTAATGTGAGTCCTAACTTTATCAAATTTATCATGTGACTATTATTAAGACATTTAAGTATAACCATTAAATATGTGAGATATGATGTGAATCTTAATTTTATCAAATTTATCATGTGACTATTATTATATATCTTAATATTTTTATAATGTTAAAATGTCTTGATTTTTCTTTTTCTCATATATATATATATATATGATAGGTGATTATCCACTAGAATATTAATACATAATCATGTAGAAACATTCAAACATAGAAAAATTCAATAACAAACACTTCTAACTCAAAAGGTTAAATACCTTTTTTGGTCCATCTACTATAAGAAAAAGCCTCTTTTTAGTCCTTGTACCGAAAAAATCCCCTTTTTGATCCTTACTGTTTGAAATTTGACCTCTTTTTGGTTTTTTTGTTAAATTTTGACTGATGTAACAGGTTAACTAACGAAAAAACTTATTTTTTTCTTTATTTTAATTATGTGGAAAATCCACCTGGTACAACTTGATGGCATGGCCAAATTTTTTTGTCTAATTTAACCTTAAAAATCATTTAATTACATAATTACCATTATAAATACTTTTAATTACTTATTTGCCCCCATCTTCTTCCTTCCTCTAGCCTCTTTTTTTTTTTTTTTTTCCCTTTCAGATCTCGCCAGGATCTTTGCAAACCCAACGTTGGGTTCACATTGGGTTCGTGATGGGAAACCCAGCACTTGGGTTCGCGTGGGTTTGTGACGCAAACCCAACGCTTGGATTTGCGTGGGTTTGTGATGCTGACCCAGTGCCTGGGTCACGAACCCAACGCCTGGGTTCGCGTAGGTTTGCGACGCTAACCCAGCACTTGGGTTCGCTAAACAAACCTAGGATCTAGGCTGGGTTCGCGATGAACCTAGCTCCTAGTTTCATCTACTGATTATGTTTGAATGCTAGGACTTTGTATTTCGTATTCCATTTTTCGTTTTCACTGTCTCTGAACATGAATGATGTGGATTTAGCTTTTGAATTTCATTTGATGATTAGATCGTTCTTAGGAATGATTTTGAGTATTATAGTTGGAGATTCGAATCTCTTCTGTTATGTATCTTGCTTTTTATATTAGATTTTAGCTTGCATCTACTGATTCTAAGTATGAAATATTTTGATTTCGTGTTTGAATTTTGACTA